CCCCTCGGTACGCCACTGTGTAGTGTGTGATTTCTTTTGCGCTTACTAAATAACCAGTAAAAAAGCAGTTTCATTTCTTGTTCTTCTTCCCCCAAGGCCTATTCAGAACACTTTTTCATCAAGCATGACTAATTGTTTCCAGTCTTTTTCAAAAGAAGGAGAAAAGTGTGTCATTGTGTGGTGGTAAAACTCACTGAAACGTAAAAATTTGTTTCTAGCAACTTATCGTTCACTTCTAATAAATTTAATAGCAACTTCGCAAGACACTTGCACTTTGGAAAGGGATATGCATTTGGGAAGGATCATGAAGGGAAATTTATATTCGTCCTGCTCTTTTATTAACTCACCATTAAATCACTACTTTTCTATCAAAAGGTTTCATTTAAACTTTATAGTTCGTGCAGGCATATAAATGGCCTTGTTATCTCGAGTCGTTTTTGCAAGAAAAAGTTCGTTGTTTCACTGGAGTACCTAATTGTTTTGAAAACTTCCTAAGATGAACAATCACTTTCCGAGCTTCTGTCAAAAAATGTGTTATATCTGTCACAATAATCTTGCTGAAGTCTTTGCATCATTCATCAAGTGAAACATTCGCATAATACTATGGAAACCCGTGGAGCGCAACGAACAACAATAAGTAACGCTAATGACGTCAGTCAAGAACTGGAAATGAATTTTACAGGCTCACACAAAAGCTCTTCTGATAGTTGTATAATACACAGAAAATCTGGATTTCTGTGTGAAGGGCAAATCATACTGAAGATCACAATGCACTTTTTTTAACTGTACTTATTAGGCTGACCCATGAGGCCCTGCACCAAGAAAAAGTCGTAATTTCTCTTAGTTCATCTAAAATATGCAGAGTAAAAAAATATGCGTTATCCGGTGTTTGAAGCAAAAACCATTGTTTTTACATCAGGCGATAGAAACTGTTTCAAAAAAATGAGCAGGGTCACATCTTGGGCGGGGCATACTTCACGCGATTCCAGTCGCGACGCGATTTGGCATCCAACTGTCCATAACTTCTATAAGCACATTTTAAATGTACATAAGATAGGGCATTCCATCAATTTACGTAAGTTACACACATTATGCATGTGCGGTTTGCTAACGTAGGATCTGAAGACTTTTGGCGAATTGCCAGATCGCGTTGCGACTGAAATCGCGTGAAGTATTCCCTTTAAGTATTTCCAAATTCTCGTCAGTAACATCGCTGAATAGTCCAATTAAATCTAGTCCATTTTTAATGAACTTTTAAACTAGTCCTAAAACCAACAGAACTCTTTGAGAAGAACTTATGCTAATTGACTGTCTTTACTGATAATTATTTCCATTCTCCAAACTTGACATCTTGATTTTTTTGATATCCAAACTCGACATTTTGACTTTGTTACGGACAAAAATCTCCATTATGCTTAATGAAATAGAAGCTCTTTATTTTGCAAAAACTGAACGAAATATCGAAACTTTTTAACATTTTCAAATGGCTTTTCCGCACTTTATGATGTAACTTTATGAACCAACTCGATATATCCACGGAAAGCCATGGGAAGAACGGAAAAACTATCCGATTCAAATATAATAATTAAAAATCGGAAATTCAAGTAGTATGAAAGCCAGCCGTAAGCTATCAATGCAAGAACATCTCTGAGTGAGATAATTTTTTTTGATTTATAAAATAAAGTGTGCAGTAGAGGCAATGCGAACCAGCTAACCAAGGCAGGACATAAGAACATTGAGGTTTACCATGGTGACGTATATATGTACTTGAATGTCGCATGGCACCGTTGTCCTAGTGAAATTAGAAAAACTATAACGCACAAAGCTTTGAGTTAATTTCTCTTGCAAGAATTGTAGGGTGAGAAGAAATCAATGAGAGGATAGCTTGCTTTGGGAAGGAGTGGCTAAGCTATTTTTTTGTAAAATAAAGATGAAACCATATTCTCTTGAAGACAATTTCTGCTATTTTGTTGTGTGAAAAGACAAAAAAAAATCTTTTTAACCTTATAGCGGCGAGAATGTATCGTCGATTCATGACGCAAAGACTGAGCGCCATTGCGTCCGACGAAGATAGTTTGTGCACAGGAGAGACAGCAGACGGTAAGAAAAACGAAAGAACGCTCGATCACGGAGACGGCGATATGTCCGCAGTCTTTGCGTGCTATGAATCGCCTATAACTAAATTTCGCGGTCGGATATGACATCTGTTTAAGTGAAACATAGGAGATTGCAATTAAGAGCAATATGAACACACTTTGCCGCGAATGGAATTAATCCTTGCTTGGTAACGAGGCGTATTCGGGCAGCAGTTGAAATGAACGCCATTATGAATGGCACTAATATACCTTAGCAGACATGGAAAAAAAATTTTTGCAAAATGATTTTCTATCCAAAGGACCAAAAAAAGAACTAATGGACTGAGCATATGAGTGTTTGAATGATGTTGTTTGAGGTCCATTTTTTCCTGGCAAAATCATTTCATTACCCCTATTGTTGAAGTTCTTACGCGTTGAAGGTGCTTCAATGAACTAGAGAAACTCTCGTAGCTTCAGTCAGTCTGGTTCTTTTTTTGGAACAGAATCTCAAATGATGGCTAGTGTCTGAAGAATTGCAGCACGCTTCGCTTATGACTCAAATACACAGTTTCATTTTCCAGTTTTTCACCTCTTCTGAGCCTTCTGGCTATGAGAAATCCATGTCTGGACTTTTCAGCGCATTGACAAAAATGAGTCTTTTCGAAGCTTTCTAGGTCAGCATTCAAAGGAAAATACGTGTAAGTGGGCGGAGTCAGAAACGAGGGAGGTGGGGAAAAGATTTCCTTCAGGCCGAATAGTATTCATGCGCATTTGTTATTTCTATCTTATACTAGCTGGCAAACCCGGCTCCGCCCGGCCCTGTCAATAATATATTCGTAATCAGCATGCTCACTTACCCCCTGTGCCAACTCCCAGCCCCGTAGCTCGAACTTTTGAAAAATCGATAAAATCGATAATCGATATCGATCGATGACGAAAGGTAGCCTATGACACCCGCACGGCCCCGAAGTGTATGTGTGCGAAGTTTGGTCCGGATCGGTTCAGAAATGGAATTTTCTATTCGGAACATACGTACAGACATACATACAGACAGACAGACAGACAGACAGACAAACAGACATTCAGCTTTATATAAAAGATATAAAGTTGAATGTCTGTTTGTCTGTCTGTATGTATGTATGTATCAGTGGCATACCGAGGGGGGGGGGCGCGCTCCCCCCCCCCCCCCCCGAGAACGGGTCGCAAAATTCTTGAAAGTTACTTACATGAGTTATAAAAATGTGCAAATGACTTGTTTATTTTTGTAATTAATTAAAATAATTTTTAAAATTTTTTAAAAATTCAAGTTAGCCTTGTAAATAAATTTTTTTCGGGGGCATGGCTGACGCCACGCCCCTTTTTCCAGATTTTAGGGGTTGGGGGCCCGCAAAATTGTTGAGAAGCCCCCCTAAAATTCAGCCTTCATTTAAAATTTTTTGCCGCGCCCCCTCCCCCCCCCCCCCGAGCCGAAATCCCTGGTTACGCCACTGGTATGTATGTATGTATGTATGTATGTATGTATGTGTGTACGTATGTTCCGAATAGAAAATTCATTTCTGAACCGATCCAGACCAAACTTTGCACACATGCTCTTCGGGGCCAGGCGGGTGTCATAGGCTACTTTTCTTCGTCGATCAATTTCGATTTTATTGATTTTTCAAAAAGTTCGAGCTACGAGGCTGGGAGTTGGCACGGGGGGGGGGTAGTCGAGCATGCTGATTACAAATATAATATTGACAGGGCCGGGCGGAGCCGGGTAAGCCAGTTAGTTTTCTCTATAAGCGCTTCAAAAACGACATAGTAGAACTGAAGTATGTAAGATACTCTTCGCATGCTTGGGTGCTTGAGAGTTTTATCACAAGCAACGCAAACACCGCATAAGATACCGACTTGTGAAACTCTGTCAAAGATTTCAGATAGCTTTTTTAAATCACATCTAATCTAGATTTGCGTTCAAAGCTAGCCTTGTCAGCGCCGTTTGGCGTCCCCTGGCGCTTTGCCATAGCGGCGCTGTACCCACTAGCACAATGCCAAAACTTTTGCCAATAAGGAACTCTGCACGCAGCCTAATGATAGCAGAAGTAGTTAGAGCCCTAAAGGAACAGATTCTGACAAAATGCACACCAACGAGTGTAGCTAAAATACTCATACCATATCCATACCTAACTGCCAAAAATGCTATAGATAAATCCATGAACAATTTTACTACGAATGGATGATGCGGATTCATTCTAAACAGTTTTATGTCAATACGTACTCGCTTTTTGCGCAAGATTTACGCATTCGCATCGCGACGGCCTTGCATGCGGACGTCCATCGACTTGGCCGATTTGAATATCCAAGCCTTACGCGCGCGAATGTGACGCTGGTGTGGCGACGGCGTCGATGAAATAGCGAGTCGTGATTGACACAAGTTATATGCTTAGTTGCAAGGCGCAGTTTCCTATATGTACATATGTTGGTTCACTCCTGAGCCAGATATATGTCCAATAACTTTTCACTTTGCATACACGGATTTTTTACATTAAATTTGCTTATATCTTCGCTTGCAGAGGCGCTGTGAATAAGAGAAGCAAACTTGAAACCACAGATCTATGCTGAGTTTAAAATATGCAGCTCTTTGAGAATGACTTTTATGTAAATTTTCTCACACTATTCTTTTTGATAATTTCAATCGTTTTTGTTTCGCAACGACTTATAATTTCATACTTGAGTTAATTCGGATCTGTAAGGTAAGTCGGAATAATACCTTAAGTCTACTTCAAATCGAAGCAGTATTTAATTTAGCTTTCTCTTCCTAGAATTTTGCGTTTTTTCGTACACGACCGAACTGATGTCATCGATCTAGGCCAACAAGAAAACCGCCCCCCCCCCACTTAGTGGTAAAGTTTGATTAATTGTGTCTTCCATGTGCAACACAAAAGCGCAACATTCTGGGATTTATTGAGGTTCAATATCGTTTTCTGTTCGACGGTAAGGTCACTCAGACAATAATCGTACCGTTCATGAAGATTTGCTTTGCAGCTGTGTCGAAGACGTCCCTGAAGCAATCACTGTAGGTTCCTAAGTATGATCTCCCTTCCGCTTACCTATTCACTCCAACGACTCCACAGATGCTCTCCGACTGTCCGAACTGCTTCACCGTCGCTTTCTTGAATCCTCCGAATGGACGGAAGTCGTTGAAGTTAGCCGGTGTTTCGCCACTTGGTCCAGCTCCGTTGGTGTTCCAATACCTGAAAATTGAATATAATTTTCTGTTGGACTATTAATCCCTCGCAGTAAGTTACCAGAGCGGAGTGTTGGGAGTCGTTATTTTTGTGTTCTTTGTAATCTGATTCCATTCGTGCACATTGGTGTAATATCCGACTTTGATACCGGAGGACTAGAAAGGATGCATAAAAATACTTGACTTTATGTAACGAAGGACGCGCTCAGATTTGCCTGAGTGCCAGGTGCCGTGCCGAGGCCGTGCCAGCTATTGGTTTACATTGGTGCTGGCACGGCCCTGGCACGGCGCTGGAACCGGAGTGACTCCAAAGCAGCCTAAAAAAAGAAAGTTTACTATTGCAGTTCTGGCGATGTCGTTGAGGAAAGCGAGGTTCTTCTTCGAGTCAGTGCCCCAATTCGCAGGTGATGTGACCTAAGAAATGCGTCCTATTTTTTGCTAACTATTATATTTTACATTTAATGATTCTTACCTGTACCCAGACCGTTTTTATATCGATTTTATTCTTTTTAAGGCCATCATACATCTCCTTGAACTGAACAGCACCTGTCTTTGTAGATTTAGGCTGTGGACTCATGAAGACCTCAGTTCCTAGCCCAGCTAAATTTGAATGATTTTCATGATCCATTTAATTCAAGTGAGAATTTGAGCACTAACTCGAAGAGGCATTGCGAATGTTGTTGGGAGCGTTTGCATCGAACAGTCCGCTACCCTGCGGGTTATAAGCCCTAGAGTGAAAAATTAGGAATGGATTCTTGGCTTAGATAGAAAATTACCTGATGAATACAGCGCTATAGCCATACTTCTTGAAACAATTGAAAGTGCTTGCTGTTATTGCTTGGTTGATATCGAAAGCATATGCATAGTTGGTGACGTTGGCGGCTGCCGACTGCAAATAATTCGTAATTTTTCTTCAGAAAACTTCAGCTTTCGTCATGTCTTTAGCCAACAATACTACCCTTTGATTAAAGGATTGGCGGTTGGAAGGCAACCGCTTGCGCCCGCGACGCAGCCTGCGTCTCTCTCGCGGACGTGCTCTCTTATTATTTTCTACCTTGTTTAGACCTCGAAACCCCGCCTTCCAGTCGCCAATTCCGTTGCGTCAAAAGGTAATTATTGATTTGTTGAAGTCTACAAAATCGTTGACTATCAAATTTACAAGGAGAATGCAAGTTTTTCACAAGCTGACTCACCGCTGGTTGGATGAACACAGCCAAAAGGGCTGGTAGAATGAAGAAAAGCATGGTTATGGAAGTTACTGGAATTCTTGAGTGTAATTCAAAGAGTTTGAGAGAATTGTTTTGTGACTAACCTAGATCTAAAGGTAGAAGCTGGCTGCGCTGCCTGAACTGTTCTGCATGCCTATTTTATGCAGTGTTATTATCAGTATTTGGACGTGTGGACTATGACATCGAGGAAAAAAATTGAGAAGCTTATGAGTTTATTGTCTGGATCTGATATCTATCATCGAAGTAATCACTTATGATTCATCATGCCGTAAGCATTTTCAACAGGGAAGGAATTATGCACATTTTTGTGGAGTTGTCCACATGATGTTTTGTGTAACCCGTCCTGCACTGGTAGGAATGGACATTGGTGAAACGACTTCGCCTTTGCCACTATCAATTTTTACGATTTTCCACTTGATCCCGCCAGCTACTTAGGTTGTTCGATTGCAGCGCGCAAAAGGACCTGCGTCATTGCTAATTCGGGTCCTAACAAAAAGGACAGGATGAGTTTTGAAACCAAAATGTTACCTTGTACTAAACTTTGAGTGTAGAACAAATTTAAGTAAAAATTCTAAAATCTTATGTGAAATGAAAGTTTCCACTGTCGGTGGGCATTCGGCCTTGGGCAGAGTCCAAGCGATTTGATCGTCGCGACTCATTTGCTACAAGACAAGCTCAGACAATTGCATCGGGAAGTTCGCGGGTGCTTGCTCGGCCACCAATCATCCATGCCGCGAGCTGCCCGGTATAAACCGATATTGGACCCGGTAAGTGACCGCGGCGCATCCTTTAAGCGCCCGATAGTTGACCCGATTAGCATGCTTGTGAGGCTTAGGAAGAATGAAAAAATTTTGGCCTGTCTTTCATGACAGTGACTGAGTACAAATTGAGCAACTTATTAGCTCATCTGTCGACATCATCTACTGTCGTCGATAACACTCAACCGATAACTGAAGTTTGTTTTGTGAGCATATAAACTCGCTGTCACACAACCCAACCCGAGAAGCGATTACCATCCCCACAAACACTTAGGGTAGCCCCATCGCTGCGGCGTACCTCACGCAGGTTGGCCTTAAGCTACAGCGTGTAAGAAGTGCGGCCTTTGATAAGGCCCGCGGCACGCCGAGTGAGGTGATTGGGCCGCGACTCTCCCGAAAAGCTCTTTCCAATTTTAACTTTGGCCGCGGCGTTTCCGGTAAAATATACATGGGCCGCGGGGTGCGCGGCTGAAATCTTATGGGCCGCGGCGCCCCATGTGGCACGCTTTGAGGCCGCGAACTTTCCGATGCAATTGTCTGAGAAGTGTTACGAGTTTATTGCATGCCGATGTTCTTGTATTTCGGTTGTGATAGTCAGTCGCGATTAGTCGTGTTGGAAAACTATCACAACCGAAACGCGAGAAGATCGGCATACAATGATAATGTTACAGTTGTCTTGTCGCGATCAATCGCGACGATCAAATCGCGTGATCTCTGCCCGAGGCCTCAGCTGGGTAGTTGCCCATCTAATTTTTAAAAAAGTTAGGCACGCGCTTTATTTCGTAAGTTTTCATGATTTTTCATACTTAGTTCCTCAGTCCCACTGCGCGTGTACACACCAAATTTCTTACCATATCGTTTCTGTGCGTTGCAAACAAGCCGCTTCATCATTTTGGGGTAGTGATTTTCAAAAAAAAGCTTGCCACAACCTTCAACCATATAATTTTTCCACAATACTCTGCACGGGACGAGTGGCGTAGTGGTATGAGGCGCCGCTATGACTAGATCGGACACAGGTTCGATTCCCGCCCCCGGGCCAACCAAGCCCTCTACCCCCCGGGGCCGGTAAATTGGTACCAGAGTAATCTGGGAGGATAAAAGCACTGACTTGGTAACGGCTGGCCCCCGCAAGTCACTGTAATAGGCTCGCACGCATACAATTGCCTCTTCGACTATGAAGTTAGTGTGTGCGTTCGGCGCATGCCCTCAGAGGGTATTGAAGACGCCGAATCCTTTATCCTTTATTTATCCTAATACTCTGCACTATGCTCCCCCTAGTCCGTGATCGTTTATATTCCGAATTCTTAGTCATATCGTTTATGTGTACCCTGTAACCGAGACATTTGATTACAACACAATGAAAGAAAATTTTTTTTTTGAAGTGACGCGAGAGGTCATGTTTTTGCATGTCAGTCATGCAGCAACTTGTCGAAAGAATATATGCACACGTAAACGGATATTACTTACCCCTTTGATTCCCAACTAAAACGATTCCCAGCTTTACGTTTGCCCACCTGGTGCCGGGTCTTGCTTTAACCCTATATCATTTTTGCGATGTTCTTTTTTTTGCAGTATATAGATCTTGGAGTGGAACGTCACAGCGCATTCACAGAAAATTGAACAATTATTTTCTAATCTTGACTATTTCCATATGTTCGAAGTCACTTTGCATGGGTACGTTGTCTGTCTAAGCTGCTTATCAATAAGACCCATAGTATCACCTTTAGTTTTGGTTCTGCTTACAAAAGGGATTTGAGGTACAAGCAACCCTTGAACGTCTTCCCATCTTTAGAAGTGAAACTGATGACAGCAGAATTGAAAGGGAGTACGTGCGATATGACCTATGCAACCACAAGTGCCTAATAATAACGTTTATTTCCGTTCGAAAAACAAACGTGAACATGCATGATATCACGCCCATCCTTATCAGTGTAATCTCAAAACAATCTATGCTCGAAGATCCACATGAAAAAGAGCCTTAGACAAGTGTAGCTGGAAGAGCTTTATAGTTGAATAAGACAAAAAACATTTTATTGAAATCTTGCATGTTATTGTGTAATATTTCTGTACCGAAAGAAGATTGTGCGTATTCGCGCTTAAGACGATTACAATTGATCCTTCAGTGCACAGCTGTATTCTCGCTCCGAAAATGTGCGAACGGAACCCAGAGATATTTTGGACGAGAAGAGAAAACGTTTTAAATAAAAAGGCGTAAGAAATTTGAAAATAGGTTCTAAAATGTAATGAGGACAAGCTTCGAAAAATAAACGTAGTGAAAGTGAAAAACAAACAAATAATAGGTAAAATATTAGGTTGTCTCATAATTAATACACGTTTTTATTTGCTTGCTTTAACAGAGCAACCAGACTCAACCCAACAAAGAGTAAGGGATACTGTTCGATAGGGCAAAGCAACCATGCTCGATACACGGAGAGTTCGAACTCAAAATCTAAAGATTTCCAAATGCTCAAAAAATCGAAAAAAATCAGATCTTCGTTCAAATAATTTCTACGGACCTCTCACTCGCTCACATCAATACTATCGATATCTGATATCCATATGTGCGATTGCCGTATTTTTTCCTTGAATAGAAACTGAGAAAACGAAAATTTCCCTGATTTTCTCAAAGCAATGCTGAGCCGTTTTTGCATATGTGGTTCTATACTACAAGCCTAGGCAAGTACAACTTTAGGTTTTCAGCCCATTCCAAGCGGTAGTTTTCGAAAAATAACGAAGTCGGATTTTTTCGATTCAGTTTCAGTGCTAAAATCGACATTTCTCGAAAAGTACCGCTCGAAATAAGCTGAAAAGCTGCTGTTATACTTAATACTTACCTAGGCTTTTAGTATAGAATACATATGCAAAAACGGCTCAAAACTGCTTTGAGAAAATCAGGGAAATTTTCGTTTTCTCAGTTTCTATTCAAGGAAAAAATACGGAATCGCACATATGGATATCAGATATCGATAGTATTGATGTGAGCGAGTGGGAGGTCCGTAGAAATTATTTGAACGAAGATCTGATTTTTTTCGATTTTTTGAGCATTTGGAAATCTTTAGATTTTAAGTTCGAACTCTCCGTGTATCGAGCATGGCGCAAAGGCATGAGTGCCGTTTTGTAGAGCTTGCTTTGCGCTATCGAACAGTATCCCTAACCCTTTGTTGGGTTGAGTCTGGTTGCTTTGTTAAAGCAAGCAAATAAAAACGTGCATTAATTGTGAGACAACCTAATATTAACAATAAAAGTCTGCGATCCAAACTGAGGAATCCGAAGGAGGGGTGATGGCGATTATGCTTTTTTCATAGAGCCGTGAACATTTACGTAATCCAAAAATTCTTGAAATCATTCACGGATGTAACAAGAAGACAGTTTTTTCATTCTTGTGTTTGCCAGTTAAAAAAGGTGCTCCGGTTAAGTTTGCAGATTATGGCGATGTCTCCATGACTCTTGAGCAATTAATAAATTATTTGCTTTTGAGCCAGAAGCTTCTCGAATTTTATCGGTAGTTATAATACCGCTCGTAATTCGTGAAAAAAATTGCCGGCGGCCGCTTAACTCAGGCGGCGAGCACCGAATTTAGGCAACCGCCGGTTGTCGCCGAAACCGAACTCGCGTGCATCATCATATCTTGGTTCTGAGTGAACAACTTTGAATCCGTTAGCGCCGTTCAACTCAGCTTGGCGAGGCGCATCTTCTGATACACAGGGCGCCACTGTTGACATACGGTAGGTATACGTAGGTAGTCGACTTTCACGAATCCTTTTAGATTTCTGTTTAGACGGATTACTCATTTAGATGATAACATATATCTTAAGCTGCTGCTGGCGCCATTTCTATGGGTACTGTAGGATTACGGCAAAACTCACTTTGCACAGATATGTCCAATACTAGCTCGGAGTAGCTACAGTGCAGAGATACTGTAGGAGAACGAAGTGATGTCAATTTACTCGAGTTTATTTACAACGTTGATTCCATGCTTGCTCAAAGAAGAGTAGTCAACCTGCATGATGTCATCCTGTAAGAGGTCAATTATTTTCGATCCATAGTGCATATGCGAAATAACTGTACATAGTAAGTACACAGTTTTTTGTGGACGTGTTTTTCGTGATGGTATCGCGCAGAGCATTTTGTAAGAAAATAGCTATAATAAGCACCTCTTAGTAGAACGTGCCCACAATTATCCTCGGCTATAAGTTCTGGATGTTCCTACCCAAAATTGAAAGAATGATTGGTGAATCTTGGCAATTACAGGGCCCAGAACATTTTATATAGAAACAATTCTACAGCAGCAGCTCAGAAAATGATATGACATTGGTAATTCGGTCGGCGTGCCTTTTGAGTACTTAATTTGAGTTTGGCGTTGACCTGAGGTCCTGTCATAC